GGGGGGGGGGGGGCAACAGGAGGAGAAAACAGCCCCTGTTTTCATGTTTTCCCAGTGTGGACACCCGTTTCCCTTCTCTTCCCCCAAATGGTGCAATTGAAGCCTCCGTGGGCATCTGTCCATTTAGTAAGGTCTTCTTCGGGTGCTTGTGGTCTGGCAGAAGGACTTGGGATAGCTGGAGCTGAACTTGTCCGCGTCAAGAAATTCATCAGCCACCTCTGCTGTTCATTCCCTGCTCTCTCCCGCCCTCCACCCCCACCCCCAGAAGTGGAATTTGCTGTCTCTATTTACGTGCCTCACCTGGACACGGGTGAGACACCAGGCAAGGCCAGATGCCAGCCGTGCCTCCAGATTTTTACCTGGTACCCACCAAGATGGAAGTGATGGGTGAAATGGGCAGAGGTAAAGACCTCTTGAAAATGAAAATGGAAGGGTCAGGGACTTCCTTGCCCCTTGGCTTGGAGCTCTGTAGTTGGGAACACCCCATCTTGCCAGAAAATGCCAGCAAAACTACAGACAGTATATTTTCTTTCACGTGACCTTCATATCCGCCTCTGCAAAGGGCAGATTCTGTGCGAGTTTTGAGTAGCCAGCCGTACAGTTCCTGGGGAACCAGGCAGAGCCTGGGCTGAGCCCCTTTGCAGTGTCCCTAATGCTGCGAGGGGTACCCACCGACCCCCCCTAGAGAAATAGACCTTTCAAAATGGAATTCTGCTTTCTTCTGCCCCCCAAAAGAGGACATGTCTCTGCGCTGATGACCCATCCTTCCTGTCTCCTCCCTGGAGGCCACAAGATGATGTTACGATGTTCTTGGGAAAGAATTCAAAAGGGCCAACTCCAATCCGGTTTAAGAGCGGAGGAATTCCACTGAAGAGCAGGTTTTGAGATTTAGGCCCAGATGCAAGTTGGTTCTGCTTTTGCGAGGGACTCAAACAGCAGAAATCGGAGGAGATGCTTACTGGTGTGAAAGGCTGTAGGGGAGCCAGGAACAATTCATGTTCTTCTTCCAACCTCCTACTTGATTAATTGGCTGTTGCTCACTCATCTTTTTAATCATCTAAAATAAAGCATGACTCTTTTGCTCAAAGTGCTAACATGGTTATGTAATCAGCAGAAAAAGGTAGAGAGAAAGGGGGACAGAGTGAGGGGGTAGGTCAGTCCTGGTCAACTGGCCCTCACCTGATCCAAAAGAGAGGGAAGGAAGGAAGGAAGGAAGGAAGGAAGGAAGGAAGGAAGGAAGGAAGGAAGGAAGGAAGGAAGGAAGGAAGGAAGGTAGGTCCTGTTTTCTACCAACAGAAAAGGTCTCTTGAAATATGAGGGAGAGTGATTCAAGCATAAATGTCATCAGAGGCTCCACATGCCTGATCTTCTCAAACAGGTGGTCAAATGGTCCGTTTATGGTCTGTCTTTGGGGTAGAAGAGAAATGAGGTGACCTTTGAGGGTTCTCCTTGTTTCATTGAGAGCAGAGAGGTTGGATGGGAAGGGTAGCATTCTGGTTTCTGTTCCTCTTCTCATGGATTTCTTCCCAAGAGAGCCATTTCAGATGAACTGTCATTGGGTTTCCTCCACTTCTCCATCATGGCTGCAAATTGCATTACTGTAGTTCAGGATCTAGGGCTGAGATCATGACAACTTCCTTGCTGGATTTCAGGATGGAGAAAAAGTTGCACTGGGCCTTGATCCAAGGCAGCAAAGAAGCTGGTCCTGCAACTCCTAAGGGTTTAACGGCACAGAAGTCTATTCTACAGACGTTGGACCATGATTCTATTGAGGTTACACAGAAATACTCTCTGAAGTCACTCATCATCCCTTGATAATTTATTCCATTACACACAGCTCTACTTACTCCCAGCCTTCTCCATCTTGAGAATAAAGGCTGTATTAGGCCAGGATGTTGGGAGATGAAGTCCAGCACATCTGGAAGCTGGGGAAACTGCTTCAACCGTGTTGTCCTGAAGGGCAGATGAACCCTAACCCTTTAAAAATATGCTGGTTGGATTCCCTTGGCTTAGCATCTCATTCTGTGATATCCTCCCTTTTTTCCATCGTATATGCATCCCAGATTTTAAGAAGAACAGAAGAACATGAGGTGTGCGGCCACTTTCAAATAAGATCAGAAGTTGGCTGCTAAGGCAAATTTTCTGATGCACGTAATCCCCAAATATTTTCTGCTTCACACCCAAAAGCACATGCATGAATCTCTTCATGCAGGCCTACAAGGAGAGTCAAGCTCATTTTACATCTGCCTGTCTGGAGGCTGTGGATTGACCGGATTCTGCCTCACCCTTTAATTTCCGCCAACACTTACTTCTTGATGGATCAGTCAAGTTGCTAACTTACTCAGGCCTTGAAGAGAGAAGATCTCAAGGTCTCTCATAATCCAACCTCAACTTGGTCCTTGAATTTTATGGCAAGCCTTGCTATAAAAATTGGCTTCTTAAGGTCACTGGATTCCCAAGGCTGTCTTTTAACTTGCCTCTTACATTTCCTTCCTTCTTTTGATTTTTGTATCGAGGCTGGTTGGTTATATTGTGATGACTTTACCGTATTTATAACTGTTTTTCTCGTTCTCCTGTAAATTACTCTGCACTCCTTTGGGAAGACAGTAACATGTGACATTAGTGTTTTCTTGCAAACGATTATAGCTGCTATTGTCTGAATGGACGCCCTGGGGTGCTGGGGGGCAGTGTGTGTCTCAACTGGGCTCCCCACTTGACTGTGATAGTGCCTCAGTTTCCCTGTTGGGCTGTTTGGATTTGATTTACTCTTTGAACCAATCACACTTTCTGTGAGAGGGTGCTAGAGAAAAAAAATATATATATATTGGGAGCAAGAAAGGCAAATAGCTCAGGGTGATAGGAGTTGTATTTAAATACATCTGGACAACGTCCAGTAGGAATTAATTTGCCTTTGTTCGCTGAACTCATGTTGACACCAATGTTCTTCATGACTGTGTGTTTTCAAAAGGGTAAAATGGAAGGCGATGATGACGGATAAATATTTTAAAACAATCCAGTTGTGTTAGTGTAGGAGAGGCCCAGCTTTCTGGCAAGTCTAGAATTTAGTCTGGGGAGGTGGTGTAAGGGGACCCCCAACCACTTTGGGAAACAATGATTTTGAGAAGATGCAACACCTTTTAACGGCAGGAACTGAATCCGTCCTGCTGGGCTCAGCCAATAATTTCTCTGAGTTGCTTGCTCCCTTAAAAAAACATCCTGCTGGAGTTTGAAGTCTCAGGGTATTTGACTAAACTAGCAGCTGTTAAGTTGAGTCTCATGCGTACATATGTATACATGTGAATT